TATAAACGTGGGGGACCATAAAAAAAAAAAATGAAAACAGGTGTTTCCGCCCGGGATCGAACCGGGGACCTTTCGCGTGTGAGGCGAACGTGATAACCGCTACACTACGGAAACCCGCGCTGATGCACGTCTTTGGGCGGCGGCTGATCTTTCTGCCCCGGCTGAGAGGGCGCCTCTATCCCTCGACGGGTCCCTCATTCAACTCATGGCAACCCCGAACAAAACCTACCCTAAAGGCTGAGAAACGCCGCGCGGGATTCCAAGTGATTCCCGTTAATGAATAATTAGTGCTTCCGGAGGCCCGCTCACCTCAGGAGGTGGCTGAGGTGCGTGTCCCTGGGCCAGGCTCGGCTGGATGTCGGGGGTGTTTCCCCTCAGAGAGGGGACAGCCCCAAAAGGAACCCCCCGCTGAGGGGGAGCAGGAGGGGACTCACCCCAGGAGGGGACAACCGGCCTGGCCTGGCCTTGCACCCTGCTCCGAGCCGCGGGGGCGACCAGAAGGCCTGGGACTGGCCTCCCCCTCCAGGCCCGGCCTCCCCCTCCAGGCCTAGGCACAGCCCCTGGGCCCACCAGCCCAGCCCAAAGCCAGGCCTGGAGGCCGGGCACAGCTTCAGGAGGTGACCCAGGACTTGGGCTACTGTTGAAGAACGGCTGAGAGGGCGCCTCTATCCCTCGACGGGTCCCTCATTCAACTCATGGCAACCCCGAACAAAACCTACCCTAAAGGCTGAGAAACGCCGCGCGGGATTCCAAGTGATTCCCGTTAATGAATAATTAGTGCTTCCGGAGGCCCGCTCACCTCAGGAGGTGGCTGAGGTGGGTGTCCCTGGGCCAGGCTCGGCTGGATGTCGGGGGTGTTTCCCCTCAGAGAGGGGACAGCCCCAAAAGGAACCCCCCGCTGAGGGGGAGCAGGAGGAGACTCACCCCAGGAGGGGACAACCGGCCTGGCCTGGCCTTGCACCCTGCTCCGAGCCGCGGGGGCGACCAGAAGGCCTGGGACTGGCCTCCCCTTCCAGGCCCGGCCTCCCCCTCCAGGCCTGGGCACAGCCCCTGGGCCCACCAGCCCAGCCCAAAGCCAGGCCTGGAGGCCGGGCACAGCTTCAGGAGGTGACCCAGGACTTGGGCTACTGTTGAAGAAGCATCTTTTCTTCCTCAGGCAGCTGCCACCAGATGTCGGTAGAATAGTGGCAACAGGGAGTGTGGAGCTCCCTGCAGATCCAGCCCAGGGGACAAGGAGCAGGAAGAGGACTGGCTGTTTTCTGAGGAAAAGGACAGACCTTTGGTGGTCTCCCTCTGCTGGGGAGAAGTTTTCCCTCCCTGCAAATGGAGCTTCTTCAAAACACGGTGGTCCAGACTTGGTTCTCATCACCCGTGTCTCTCCAAGGCAGTGGGAGCTGTGCAAGAGGATGGGGCAGAGCAGGGTGATGCCAGCAGCACGCTGGAGTGAGTTTCCCTCATTGAGTTTTTGGGTGAAGTCCCTGTTGACAATCCCAGGTTGTTCTAGAAATACACTAGTTCCTCTTCTTTTACCGTAACGCAGTGTTAACAACTCATACACCCATGTTAACAACTCATACAACCATACACCCAGGTTGTTCTAGAAATACACTAGTTCCTCTTCTTTTACCATATCGCAGTGTTAACAACTCATACACCATACAATTCATACACCCATGGCAGTTGTTCTTTTTTTGGTAAAACCTCAGCCCTTGGAATCAGGTGGTAACGATGCAGTATTAACAACACCGTACAATTCATACACCCATGGCAATTGCTCTTTTTTTGGTGAAACCTCAGCCCTTGGAATCAGGTGGTAACGTGAGAATTATTTTTCCCGTTTTGAAGTGTATTTATGCTCTGCTGGCTGCAGAGAAAAGCTTAGAAGGGAGAAATGAATCATAAACCCACATGAAAGTGAAAAGAACCTCACTTCTGATAAAATTGACTTTTAATAACACTTTTAATAAAACCTACTTTTAATTTTACAATTTTGTAGCTAACCTCTTGGTTTTGGGGCAAAAGGGGTAGAGAGGAGGTTGTCATGTGTCTTTGAAGTACAGGATTTGTCAGTACTTTGTTCCGGTCTGACTTGCGATAAGGATTAGAATGTTTACATTAAAATCCATGACAAACCTGAAGCCTTGGGATTTGTTTGCTTCAGGTTGCTGTACAATATCCTGGTGTTGCAGTCTTTTTGCCTGCAGCTGGCAGAGCTGGCAGGAGGGGACTCTGGTGGCAACCTTTGGACTGCGCATCAGCTGAGTGTGCTGGGGGCAAACCTAATCGATAGCCGGGGGCAAAGTCCTCTTCCTGGAGGAGGAGGAAGTGGATCTGTAAGAGACTCGAAACCATCAATGGAAAGATTCAAATGGCTTTTTTGTTTTCTTCCACAGGCCTGGTTCAGTCCAGTGATCAGTGGAGAAAGGAGAGCTGCAGACCAATCAGCCCCAGGGAGGAAGCTCTTGGAAGGTACCCATGAGAGGCAGAGGTAGAAATTAGAGAAAAGACATTGTGCTGCTGGTGTTAACTCCCAAATATTGTGCTGGTCCTTCGTTAAGGCAGCATTAGAGTCTGGTTATCTTGAGACATACCGTGTAGACGGCTGTGGGCTCTAGATCTTCCTTGCATGGGCAACTCATGGCTTTGAGGGCCCAGACAAAGCTGCCTCTTCGAGCTGGTTGCCGCTCACTGGAATAACTCCCAGGGATGTTCTTGCTTTTCTTACAAAGATCCATTGTCAGTGACTGCTCAAACTTTGCCCCGCAGGACAAAGAGACTGGCAGCATTTCAGTCTCCCCTTCAGCCCCTGACCTATCCCACTTCCTCTGCTCCCAAGACTTACCACCCCTGCGGCGCTGCTCGTGTGTGAGACCCCCCTCTGCATCACCCCCGCTCCCCAGGGACAGTCTCCAGAGCACCAGGAAGGACCGTCACATAAATACCCAGGAAAAAAAAAAATAAAGCGGGGGGCTTATTTGGAGTTAAAGGATGGATATTCTCTGCTATTATCACCAGCATCTGCCCTTTCTGAACAAGGGAACCCTCCCCCAGCCAGCCTTTTCACCAGTGCGCTGAAGGCGGCCATGCTCTGCTTTGTTTGCCTGACACGCTGCGATGGCTGCCGAGTCCCATTCTCCCCTTTTCCTCCCTCCACTCCCTAAACAGCCTGCACGGCTGTTACAAGAGAGGGAAGCTCGGAGCGCGCTGTCGAGGAGGAGAACTGACAATCAGGGGCCGGGGAGACAACGCCGCCTTGCACAATACCCCCCCAATTAGCCATTCATTTCTGCTACCTCTGAAATGGGGAGCACAGCCCTTGTGCTGGGAGATAAAACAAGAACGGCTTCAATAGCACTGATTTAAATTAGGTCAGGCTAGCTTTTGTGTGGCGGGGACCACACAATAGCAGTCACACGACTGTGGAGGGGAGCAGCATAAAGGAAAAGAGGCCAAGCAAGTGGCACAGATGCTGGGAGTCGGGGGGTGCTGGGAGATGAGGGGTGTACGTACGTGAGCGATAGCAGAGGGGCAGACACTCCAACCCGCATGCGATGCTAATACATAAAAAGGGGGCACACGATCAGCAGGGGATGGAGAGGTCAAACACTGTCCCTGCAGAAAGAAAATTATCGGCTAGTTCTGCTGCACCAAGGGGTGCAAGAGCATGGCCGTGCGTCCTTGGAGACTGGTCTTTAATCATAACTGGTTATGAGGCAAAGGGGTGACAATAATGTCGACCCATAACATCCTCCCCGAGCACTGGCACAAGCCCTGTCCATCATACGGGGATCAGGGGGGCAAACCCCTCTGGGGTCTTTGTACTGCAGGCCTTATTTCTTGTAGCTCCGGCACAGAGATGCTGCTCTTCCTCTTGGCAAAAAATAAAAATAAATTGCAGAGGGACAGTAGTTTTTTTGGAGCACACAGCAAGTCAGGGTATGATGAAGCCCCAAAGACCTGGGTTGCAATCCCCAGCATTGACCATGGTTTGCAATTTCATTGCCCCCAGAAGTTCATCAAAAGTCCAGCCTGAACCCCTGTTGTATGAGGAAATCCTACACTCGGTTCTTTATCCATCGGTGGCTTTGGCTCAAAATCAGCAACTCCTTCAAAATGATCTCAAAGACATCTGAGGATCTGCCTGCCTTCAGAGAGAGGTCCCAGAGACAGTTGCCCAGGAGAGTACAAGCACTGGAGACTAGTTCCAGTTCTCACCCCAGTATCGTTAATATCAGTATTGTCGTTATTCCAATAGTTATGCAGATGTTCGTGTTTATCTGGCGCTGGGAGAGCACGAGAGCAGCGTGCTCCCTTTAGCAATAACAGCGTGCTCAGGGCGATCGATAAGAGCCTGATCTTTTCAGGCCGGGCTGAGCGAGCTGTTGTCGTGGTCTAAATGAGTTTATCCAGGTGATTCCATATGCAAAGGAAGGTCGGATAAGTTTAAAAACAAGAGTTCACCCCTCTAAGTCTCCCAGGGCAGAAGTGTCTCTGACTGAGTGGTCTTTTGTGACCCGGATTGGACTTCTACAGGTAATACTTGGCTAAAGACCTACTGATGGGAGAAAATGTGGGTGTGGAAAAGTTGAAAGACACAATCAGCCATTTAATACGGCGTTCTTCAGCCTTTTTGAACTAAAGCACAACCTGATATTCTTTGGCAGTTGCAAGAAAAAGTTGTGAGCAAAGACAATACATTTAAGCAAAATGTTTGTTGTATTACAAACTCATCATTTTCTTGCTAGAATTTACAAGCATTATAATGTCAACTACTGATAGTCAAGAACAGGTAATTAGTGACAGAACGAGAGGGAATGGCTTCAAGCTCCAACAGGGTAGGTTTAGATTGAACATTAGGAAAGAATTTTTCACCCAAAGAGTGGTCGGGCATTGGAACAGGCTGCCCAGGGAGGGGGTGGAGTCCCCATCCCTGGCTGTGTTTAAGGGCCGTTTAGATGCAGTGCTGAGGGACATGGTGTAGGGGAGGACTTTGTAGAGTAGGGGAGATGGTTGGACTCGATGATCCCAAGGGTCTCTTCCAACCTGGACGATTCCATGATTCTATGATTCTATGAAGGTCTGTTGATGGAGACCAGCACTGGGATCATAGCCTC